TTCATAGAGTCGACGCGAACTTGAACAATGAATGCGATGGACATATTTCGAAACGTAAACGTTTTGACACAATCGATCGTGTATGTTAGAAACATATTGCGACTGAATAGTGCGATATTGGTCATCGGAAGGTCAAAGGATTTGACAGAATGTTCGTGGCGATTCGTACGTCAATCTCTAGGACAGACCATCTGACAAATGGAATGCATGATTAATACTCGGTCCCTATCTACACGATCCTACCGCTAATGGGCTAATCTTAACTGTGTCCATAATTAGCAATTATATTAATCTCGTATCTATATGTTTCGGATACACTGTATTGATTCGAATCGATAATTAGTATTTCTGTTTTACTTCAATTAATCTTTGATAAATTTAGCTTAGTCAAAACTATTATACTAGCTTATTATATTGGCACATTAAATATTGATTTTACAATAATAACTTAAACGTGAATTCATATGAATTGAATATTATTATATATATGAATCGTATTATTATTTACGAATTCATTCTATTTTTCAATATATTAAAAATCGCTTAAGTTACAGATTATAGGTTAGAAAAAATATTCTTTAGAATAATTCTTTAATTTATCTTTGACAGGAATATTGGTTACACAATTTATAATTGATTTCACAAATTGAATCGTCTAATTTTGCTATTTTTATAAACTTTCAAATGTTTGAAAATATTCTGGAATATGTATCATGTGTTCATTATATTATACAAACATTTGTAAAATCAAATATATATAATTTTTTCTTATAAAAATAAAAATTCAAAGCAAATATAATTTTGATATATTTTCATAAAGTTCTAAAATTTTAAGCTTGAAAATTAATATCTTGAAAAATGCAAACCATGCAGTAATGTTTTGTTGCAATATTTTGATTATATAATAAAATAAACAATGAAATAAAAATATACAATGAAAATTTTTATTAAAAATTTTAAACGTAACTTTTCACGAGTTTCTAAAATTTAAATTGTTTAATAATAATAATATATAAATAATTCAAAAGAAATAAATTTTATGGACTTCAGAATATTTGAATTAATATCGTTATACGTTTTCGTTATTCAATTAAATTTTTAATTAATTCTATAATGAGTACTTTCATACACCGAATAGCAGATTGAAAAACCTTTCAACAGAATATACTTTACACTGCTTTTATATTAATAAAATTCTAAAAAAAATTCATTTTTATGCTTACAAATATCTATTTATAAACTGTATAATTAGATGTACAACAGTTGAGCTATGCAAGTTTTATATTTGCATATAGTTTTGTATGTAAAATAAAAGTAATAAAAATGAATATCCAATTGAAGTAAAAGTTTGCTAAAGTTGATTTGACATTTTCTTTATGTATATCATGGAGAATATCATGGAGCTTTTTACTGATTAAAATTTGCTTCGATATCACATAATTAAAAATTGAAATATTGATTGTCTTTCCATATTGTAGATTTCTCTTTTTCACTTTTTCATACGGGTTAATTAATTTTATAATTAAGCTGAAAATCAATTGTACAAATCAATCTATAATTTGAACTATACTTGTACATGATATTAACAAATTCAATTTAATTTTTTTAACGATAAAATTAAGATAAAACGATTAGAAAACAATATATATTTCTATAATTCTAAATTATTCAAAATTGAAGAAAATAGATTTTTGAAATAAGTAAATAGAAACCAATATTTCTATTCCTTTTAGATATATCTGAGAATTTTTCAGATAGAATTTTCTTTGAAATAGCGATTAAATAAGGAAGCAATATTTTAAATACAATACGTACAATAATATTTTAATAATATTTTAATTTTAGAAATTAAATTTTTATCTAATACCTGTAAAGATTTCATTTCCTTAGTATCATATTTATTTTAAAGCCCAATTCTTCAATTATTTTCTTCTCTAAGATATAATTCCTTTAAAAAAAAAAAAAAATAACAAAACGACACGATTTTCTGTACATGGGCGAAAAAAATCGAACAGAAAATTGCATTCCCAGATCTCTAACAAATCCACTAAAAGTATCGATTTATTTCCCTTATTCTCCGAATGCCATCGTGTTTAATTCACTCGCGGCGTTATGCATTCTTTTCGAAAGAGGATCAACGAGCATCCGAAATTCGATCGATACTCGATCACACGCACGAAATTCCGATTCCTTCTGATTACGGGACCGTGCTTAAGCGTGTAAGTAGACGCGAGTACGCTTCGATCTCGCGCGACAAAGAGGATCGGATGGAGCGGAAGATCTCTAATGGAAAACGTGAATTTCGATTTAGAATGTATTGGACGGTGGAAAGGATTTAAAATATATTTGAACGAGGTAACTCGCCCCGATCACCGTTCATTTCGACGCTCGATACTTGCATTTTCGTGCAAAACGCGCGTTTTTCTTTTCTTTTCTTTTTTTTTTTTTCTTTTTCGTTTTGTTGTACGGTTAGCTGAAACGCTTTAATGGAAGCAATTTATAGTTAATTTAACTAGCGTGTTAGCGTGTAGGTAAGGAAAGAGTAGTTAATTATACGTATATTATGCTCTAGTTTTTACTTATTAATGTGAGGATCATGGAGAAAATTATTTTAATGTTAGGTTATTATTGTTGAGAAGAATTTGATATTAAAAATTTTAATTTTTTTTTTTTCTTTTTTTCAAACTTTACTAGATTTACGAAATATCAAAAGAAATATCAGATTTTTTGATCAATTGGTAAAATTTGATTCAGAAAGATACATAGAAATGATTTCGATCCTTTAATATGTAAAATCTTTATTTGAAAATTGTGAAATATATATCCTCTTTTTTTATATTGAAGTAAAAATTATTAAATTAATCTAGAAATTAAACATTATTTGTTATATTATTTCATATAAATTGATGGAACAAATTGTTAAATAATCATTCTTATGAACCAAATTCCAATCGGATAAAATAAACTGGCTGGATAGAAATTTGTTCAACTTGATTTGTAATTCATGTTGCAAACAGTTTCAATAAAATATTTTGTTTTTCAATTGCCGTGTTTAATGTAGTTTGTCAGAAATAAACAATGTATAACTTTATTATTAAAATATTTTAACAATTTAGTAAATATAATATAACGCTGGATAATAAAACTTAGTTGTAAAAGAGGAGTAAAGAGATCAAAGGGAAGCTGTTCCGACAAGGACAGAATATCGTGAAAAGTTTAATGGAAGATCGCGATTCGTCCAAACACGAGACAGAGAGTTTCTTCGAGTTCCTTTGCAAAACGAAGCTTCTTTGACGACTTTAAAAAATTCTGTACGTTCTAAGTATTCGTGTAAACTTGAAACGAAAAATATGAGAAAAGAAATTTTTCCAACGAAAAGTTTAAAAATAGGAAATAAAATAGATATTACTTTTTAGAAAATAACAATAAAAATCCTGAGATTAATAATACACATATCTTCTTCTACTTCCTCATCATTGTCCATTCTCTTTTTCTACTTCATCACATATCTCCTTGTACATTCTACTTCTATCTTCCACATCCTGATCTTCGATGCCATTATCGAGATAGAAAATTCTCTTAAAACCTTGTCCTCCCCATCTCGCTGACTCTTATTTTTGCAAAAAAGAAAAGCCGATTTCCAAAAATATTCTTCCTCCGCGCAACGACTCGAATCCTCAACCTTCCCCGACAACAATGCAACCAGATTCCGTAATATCAAACGTCACGCAATGCGAATCATATCAGCAACAATAAATAGATTATACGAGGATGGCACAAGTGGATTGGCATTTTACATGCAGTTGAGCATTATTTGTACAGCTGGTGCGCGTATCATTCCGTTGGCAATCAACACAAGTGCATTGCATTAATGAACAAACGCACTAGTTAATAACAATTATCGCCGGTATTCGGATATTGCGCCGCCCGTGGCTTGCTCGTCGTATCTCCTAAGCATTCCTGCTAACGAACGAAACTGCAACGCGCGCAGAGTTCGGGAATGATGAAATATCGGTGATAGATTTAAACAACCGTCTGATTCGGTAATTTGTTTGACGCTTCGATCGGTTTGCTCGGTTAATTATATGTATGCACGATTTAATACGCTCGATTTCGATTTCGGTGCGCAGTTATCTTGCCACCGATTGCTTCCTATGATTTCGAATATCGTATTGAAATTTTCCAAAATTTATACACAATCTTCACAATTATAAAATAAAGCTTTTGAGGATAGCAATTAGAAAATTAATAAAATATCGTATTAGTTTTCAAATGGAGAAAGGAATTTCCAATTTTGCATATGAAAATACAAAATTTCCCGGATATGGCAATAATCACTCGTGTCGAAACACCGTGGTATCATATCGGATCATTTCCTTCAACCGTTAACTCGTTTCTGTATTCGTTTTTCGCTCGATATAAATCATCGATTCGTCGAAAAGATTGTCCATTCGAGTCGTAACTGAATGATTTTGACGATCTGTCAATCGCATTGTACCAGTTCTATCGACAGTGATTGATGCACCGTATCAGGTAAATAGAATATGCGATTGTATTGTATACAATCCTAATCCTATTGTTTCCTTACTGGCGTAAGTAAAGCGGTATCGATTTAACAACGCAGTATGCAGGTTGATCCGCTTCATTGTTCTATTCATTACGGCTTACTAATGAGATTGCAAATGTATCACGCGAACGACAGCGAGCCACGTATATCATTCTTATTAGAATAAGAATTGTTCTTGTCGTTCAAGTTATCAGTCATCTTGGTGGACACGATCTTTGTGATGATCTTGGCTGAAACTGTAGGAGTGTAGTTTACAACTGGAGAAATATAATAAATAATATACAAAGTTTGTTTATGTTGATTCTAAGAATTAAGATTATTTAACGTCACTTATATTTTGATTAAATATTCAAATAAATGAAATAACAAAGATATCATTGCAAATACATTTTGATTATTATAATAATAACGTTTGATATTTCTGTATTTCCAGGTCTGACATACAATACACGACAAATTCGTCGAAGACATTCTTGAAGATTCCTGACGTCAAGTTGGAGGACGAAGGCCTATACAAATGTGAAGCCACTTACTTGGCTGTGAATCGAGAGTGCAACAATGTTCAGCATATCATACTCAACGTCACTGGTAAGTTTCACGATGATTTATCGCTTGGAATTATTGTAGCTGGATAAATTTTTTCTTAATTGCTCCAATATCCGATTATACGTTATACACATTGATACAATTGTCTGTTATGTTAATTTCATTTATATATTAAATTCTTCTACCATGAAAATATTATAATGCCTCGACATTGTTATCGACAACGTTACGGCACGTTGCGTATAATCTACGAAATTCTTTTTCAAGTTTATAAAAACTTGGAGAAAGAAAAGTTACGGTTCGAGTGATAAAGAGAAAAAGAACAAACTCTGAACTTTCTAAATAAAAACGAGAGATGATGTCCTCTTAAACCAAGCACACTAGAAAATAGCGAATCATTACTTATAATATCTTCTCGTGAAAAGGAAATCGTACGAAAATTTTCTGACTCTTTCCTCGAACGGAAATCGTAATAAGATTTTCTTTTAAAAAATTCTTATGTCCTATAAACAAATCTATTTATCACAATAATTATTTTCCAATTAAATATATTTTTATCTCCCCCTAAAAATATCCAAAAAGAAACTTAACTTGGATAAGATGTTTAGGTATATTTTAATTATTTTACTCAAACGAGTACGATTTCAAAATGATGATTTGTCAATCATTGAAATATTATTGTTTTCGGCTAATTCATCGTTTCACTACAACGAAACATTATAGAATAAATATTGAACTCTTATCCACGATGTTTCGAGAAAAGACGGGTGGATGCAGGCATCAAACAGGAGGCGGTTTTCACGATGCACAAACGAGAGGTGGCGTATAATTTAATTAATCGATTAAACGGCGACGATGCCAGGTAGTAAGATATGCGTGGAATAACTCGTATTAGACGTATCGTACTTGTACGATCCGTGTAATCTGGGTAATCCCAGTAATTCGACAAACGAGAAAGCCGCAGTACTAATCCGAAGTGGTAGCTGGCTAAACCACTGAATCGGTTATCTTGACACACGCAACATGTCATACTATTAAAGTGCGGTTGAATTTGCCTACATGAAAGGGATGCCAATTACTTTGAAATTTTAGCCGGGAAACCGACTCTCGACAGGTAGTATCGTAGGGGATGCGAGCCTAAACCGTGATAAATATGTATATTTCCATGGAAATGGCGTCGATGAGTAGTCTTAGAGAGATTAAATACGAGATTTTTACGATTTTTTTTTTTTATTCAATTATATATATCGTACTCGATGTTGGTTAAATATTCTTTGGTCAAAATGTGGAAAGATTCGTGACAATATTTTTTTTTCGATCGTACGTTTGATAATTTATACGATAAAGGATCGTGTTGAGGATGAGAAGAATTTTGCAAATGGAATATTTGTATAACGAAAAATTAATATTTTGTCGAGAATGAATATTTTAAGTTTAATATTATTTCACCGCAATTGTTTCACTATCGATTTTCCAAATTTTTCTTGCACTCAACTTGCCGAGTGAGATTATAGATCGTTGGATCTAATCGCGGTTCGTGTCTTTGGAATCTGGAAAAAACAATCTTCGTAAAACTATTCGCTTATCATAATATTTTTCCTTTCAAATCGAACGATATCTTCTGATATTTTATCATAAGAAGTTGGGAACCGTATATTTTGAAAATTAGGCTTATTTTTCTCTTTAACTTGTTCGTACACTTCTGTATTATTTTACCCTTACCTTTTACCATCAATAGAAACTCGTCTCGAAAAGAACAGGATTCCATTGCAATTTCAAACACGAAGTAAACAAAGACACTCGAATGCCTCAAACGAATCCAAAGCAATGTGTGCTTTTTATTCAACGCACTAAAATATATCAAGATTCAATTAATTGTCAAAATTAATTGAGTTCCTGTTATTCGTGTTACTGTTGTCAAAGAAATCGTTCTCGTTGTCAATTCTCGGAAATTTTCACCGAAAAGTGTTCCCAACAATGTTGGAAACTGTCCAAGGTTTCCATTACGATTCTTAGGTTGCCGCGAAACCGTGCTAATAGCGCGGCACCCATTTCGAGCTCGTCCAACCGTGGCGAAACTGTTCATCCATTGAGACTTTATTGTAATTACCGGCGTGTCACGGTGCGAAACATGCGAATAGCCGGAAGTTGTAACCCGGAAGTCGAAATGTCTCGCGGCTTCCACATTTTCCCACGTTTCCAGAAACTCCTCGAGTTCCTGGCCTAAGTGCAACTTGTTGTGGAATTGTAAATCCTTCCACGATATCTCTACAATAGTGCGCAATAGTTTAATGATTTATCAAACGAGCTTTAATTTTTTGATGGAAGGTTATTTTGCAGCAGAATTTGTTTGATGGATTTTCGTATTTTCGATGAATCTGTGAGAAATTTATGCATTCAGGAATTTTAAAGAAATTCTATGCTATAGAGATTTTACAATGAATAATGTATACATTGAAAGATGAAAGTTTCAAATTAAAAACGCAGAAAACTTTGTTACGTAAACGTCTTTTAAAACGTTATATTAGCCGAATATCTGATCTAGTATTAAAAATCCATTTATCATAATAAATTTAATAAATTATAGAAGCATATTAATCGAAGTCCTCGATTTTCCTTCGACCTAAAAAAGTTTTCGCGAAAAAGGAAAAAAGAGTGGTGGAGGCAGCGATAATTTAACGCGTCAAAACGAGCAACGAAGGTCGAAGGTCGGCGGCCGACAATGAACCAGACGAAATAAAAACAATCGGAACTCGCGTCTCTCCTATTAAAAGTTGCAAATTGCACACTTGTGCGTCCTATGTGAAATATCGTTGCGCCCGTGTCTCATTTCCACGGACAATGTCGTTTCAGAGAAACAAATACGCTTTTCAAAACCGAGCCTCGTCACCCTCGCTAATGATACGTTTCACCCTATTGTTATAAAAATTATTATACGGCCACAATTAACGGCCAAGAATCTCCCTCGTTTCTCTTTCGAAGTATTCGAAGGCTGCAAGAATTTCCATAGTATTTTTTTTTTTTTTTGCGAATTCATTTTGCGTATCGCACCGTATTAATTAATAACACGTATTTGGACCGGTACGTTCGAACGATGTTCGATGCAAATCTCCTTTTATCGTGGTCGACAATTTTGGCAACGTCAATCGTGGAAAAATCCACGTGGAAATATATTTTTCGTCGGCCGTAACTCTTCGTCGAGATGGAATTTCCCGTGGGGGGAAGGGAGGGGGAGGAATCGAAAATAGAATAAATACTGGGACGAGAAATTAATTTTTTATCAAGAAGTTTTTAAAATTGATCCGAGTATATATTGGAAAGCACATGCATATTGGATGAAAAATTGATCAAAGCCGAGGTTCGATTAAAAAATTTAAAGGCTTTTCGTATTTGTCTCCTCGTTAAATTAAACTCGGAACGATTGGGAAGCAGTGATTGTGCATTATCGTTTTTCTTTTTTTTTTTTTTTCCTTTCGAAAATTCGCGATAAATTTAACTGGATGACGTTGGTTCGACGTTATTTATTTGTATACGTAGAGATTGTTTTGCAGATATTTGCGAATGTTGTTAAGGTTTTCGAGCGTGTCTGTAAGCCAGCTATTGAAAATAAACAAAGGCTTCGAATTGTAATATGAATCATGTAGGTAGCAGATAGTGAGTCGAGCTTTGCTCGTTTATCGAAAGCTGACTGAGGAAAAAATATAGATAACCGAGTTTTTGGAGGATCGAAGATTGGAAAAGCAATCGAATCAAATCAAATTTCATTGATGAATTTTCGTTAATAATAATAATATTTGAACTTTGGAATTTTGGAATTTCGAGACGTGCTGTTTAACGAAGCTATTGAAAGAACAAAAATTTAATTGAATTTTGTTCTAACATTATTCTTAAACATCCAAATAAATGTTTTTTCTCGAGCAAAATGGAATCGAGGAAAAGATCCAAAAATTACTCTCTCCCCGATAGGCTTAGGGCAACAACTGAAACTAGCACATACACGGGGGAAGTAGATCCAACGCGGAGGGAATCTCAGCACAATTTTTCGGCTGAGTGACACGGTTAAGGGGCGAAATTAAACACTGCATTCCTCTTTCTTACGTGCTTCATACGGAGTATCACTCGTTGTCCTTGTCATAGAAGACGACTTAGCTTCGGGCGATCGCAGTTCTCATTTCTTTTTTTAAAATGGCACGTGTCTTTTGCCTCGTTGCCGCGTATTTATACGTCGGTATGAAATAATTTAAGAGAGATCATTATTCCACACAAAGGGATCACTTTTGTTGAAGTGTTAATTAAAAACAACGAGTTTTGCGGTTGTAACAATGGAAATGATAAAATGGGTGAGGAAAAAAACGTAATTTAAATAGAGTTCAGTTTCTTTCTAAATATTCGCTTCCTTTTTCTTTATATTATTATAAATTGATATAAAAGTAAAGAAAGTAAGAAAAATTTTATTAATTCTTATGTACATGTATATACAATCTGAATAGATTTTCTTGAATTTGTTACGTTGTTCCTAATCTACTGCTAGATTAATTCACAAACCAAGCAAAATTTCTTCCATTTTAATTTTTCCAAATAAAATCTAAAACGATAGAGAACATCAATCAGATATGTGATAAACGAAAAAAGATTCTCTTTTCGTTCCTTTCGCGTGGAACCTTTTGTATAGATAATTGTTTTCTTTATAAATTTTCCAAGGAACTTCCATTATCGTTTAAATACAAATATAAACATTTCTACCGTTCGAGTTTCGATATTCGAAGAGGGAAAAGGACAAAAAAGGTGGGGAAGATGGGAAAATCGAGTTGGATTTTATTTTACAAGAGCTTTGGGTTTCCAAAGCTGGCTGAAAACGTATGGCGAAACTTTCACATCAACCTAATACCTGTCCGAAAGTTTTCTATAACTCTTGCCGCAGAAAACGCGTAGGCGAAGGAGACGCGCGATTCCGACGGTCAGAATGAAATTTGAAAACTTGAAGCTCATTCCATGTATATCGCGTCGCGATTCTTCCACCTGGTTTCACATCGCATATATGA